AAACTCAAGTTTCTTTCTGCTGCATTTTATTACAGAGTCATATTAGCAGTTCCATTTTGTTATTTCTGACATGTAACACCACCAAGTGGCATAGGTTTGCACTACTTTACTTGAGACTGTCAGCACAAATGGGAAGCTAAGTCTGGCTTAAAGTAAGATCACAAACTTGAAAGCCACAATTGATGTCATTGTTAGCCATCAAAGACTACTTGAAAACACTTGATCCTACTTGATCAGAAATGTAAGACAGAGCACCATTTATATTGTGTGACTCTGAAAAGCAAATGAAAGCTTGTAATTGTACCAGCTGCTCTAAAACTGATCAGTAAGACAATCTATTTACTAAGGGCTTTTTTAATGAAAAAGTGCTGGCTCATGAATACTGAAGCACACAAAAGTTGTACTTAAGTGTTAAACTTAAGCTTGAATAATAATAAAAAAAGCCCCTTAATTTAAACCTGTACTCAATCACCATGACAAAAGTCTAACAGTATGAGAATATCAACCCATTTATGAGAAGGGATCTCAAAACCAACAGGAAAATACACATCAAAGGCATAACAAGCATTTTGGTCCTAACAAGCTACACTGAATGCCCTTCAAAAGCTAGCAGAAAACACTGCTTATATGCCTCATCCCACACTTACAACTCTGGTTCACATTGTTTTTCATAATTAGTTAAGACTGAAGGTGGCTACATTTGATGTTACACTTACATTCTTTTCTGTCAACTCCAGTGGGTGGCTGGGCAACAATTCATTTTTCACACTTGTAAAACTAGAAAAACAAGTTAAAAAAAAAATCAACTGTGAATTAATTGGGATATGTTTTTACAAGCTGCATTCTAAAACCAATCTTGGATACAAACAACACCCACAGAGAGACACAATTAGCACAGTGTGAACTACAAAAAGGAAAAAAGCCCCAAGAGCTTAACAGTGAAGCAGCAAATAAGACCCATAAATACAGCACTACAAGAAGAAAAAGAATTTAAATTTCAGGCATCCTATTTCCCTCATGCTTGACAGAACAGAATGACAGTTTTTCTTCCTTGATTCCCTTTAGAGTTAAAAATAGTAGTAAATGAAAACATCATATATTTAATTACATCCAAGCTACTCCGTATCTTATTTTAAAGCCTCCAAGCTTTTTTGCAGTGGAGTATTGTACATACCTTCACCTCACTGAGTTCCACTACCCCCATTTTAAACTCCATGAACTTACTTCACGTTAACTATCCAAGACACAGACCCATGTTCTGCACTCCTGTAAAATGGCAAACCTCAAACTATTTTTATTCTACCACTTTTACATTCTGTCCCAATGCTGAAACTCATGAGTTCCCACAGTGCTCTGGCACACTTGCACACATGCATATTAAAATCAGCAGATGTTGCACAAGTATTGGTACTTTGCTGTCTCTTTTCTAAAGGTAAAAGTCTGTTAATGTTACCTACTTCTTGAAAGGAGATTTCACAGAACAGTCACACTTGAAGGAGAATTTGATTAAATAAATGCTCTTTAGGCTACAGCTTTTGCAACACGCCTTCCAGGAAACTTTTTAAAAGACAACATTTAACACATACTTTCTTCTTATATCTGAAGTTCAGCATTGCCTATGACAATTCAACAAGCAAAAGTAAAGTGTACCCTCTGCGCAGAAGATCATGACCTTCAAATGGCCCTGAAGCTGAGAATTCAGTAAATGGGATACTATCCTTCAACAGAGAAGCAGTGCCTCTGGAATTCTGGAACAAAACAAAGCGAGAATTACTTCAACAGAACCAGACCCCTTCCGTATGGAGCATTAGGGCAGGCAAATGAAATACAGTACTCAGAGACTCCTTAAAGTACTCCTGGACAAGCCCCAGGCTTCAGAGTCTCTTTGAAAAAAAGAACAAAAGCCACACAAAACAAGAAAACACACCCTAAAACACAAACCCTACACTAAATTCTGATTCTTTCAGAGTTTGATAGAAGTTAAAGGTCCCAATGACACATTTTTTGGATCTGGCTGAGACAGTTAAAGTCACAATCACCCCCTGTTCGTTCCCACCCCGGGTTGCAGGGATGGAAAGAAAGAAGGCAGGTCCTGGTCAGCTATCAGCTGACTGGACAGAAAGGAACATAGCTGAGCATTCCTTCATTTAACTTCAATACTGACACAGCTGAGTAAGATCAAACTGATTTTAGCTATGATTTGAGGCTGCCACAGAGAGGGTAAGGTGTACTCACGTGGTCTATTACAGCAGTTAACTGAATGAGCAAAGGACACTAATTTGTAGCAGAACACCAGAAATCCAGACTGAGTAAGTAAATCCATCTTAACCCACACCACTCATTTCTATCTAAGCTACCAAATTTTACTGAAGTGATTTTGGAATTGTTCATGCAAATTGCTCCACCAATAGGCCAATGTCTAATAAACTGTGGCAGGGGACAGCAATAATCTCTAGCAGGTGACAGTAATGTGCTGTTCAGTGCAGGAGGTTCCTCCAGCTGCACTGCCAGATCCAACAAAAAGTTCATATTTACAGGTAAGATCTTCTGTACTAACACGTTAAATTTCAATAACCTAAGAGCTATAAAACAGTTCTAACACATCTGTTATTGCTTGTACGTAAAGCACCCACACAAACACACTCAACACTGACCACATCTTTCTGACACTGCTGCAAGTGAAAGCATAAAGAGATACAGTACCTGGGGGTCGTGACAAGAGGGAAGATCAACGTCAAACGTTAGGAGAAAACCATGAAATACTCTCTAAAAGTAATACTCTCGAGTCACACCAGTGCCCAAATCACCATAGGTGCTCAGAGCACCGAGGCGGGGCCTCCCTCCGTGACAGCTGCAGGAGCCTGAGGTCCACCGGGGCTCCCCGTCCCGCCCCGCGCCCAGGAGAACGGCTCCCTCAGCCACCTCCGCGCCTTCTCGGCCCGCAGAGCCCGT